AGGGGGCGTGTCACTTGAAACATGGAGCTGTGTGCGAGGATTTCTACGGCTGCGAATCAGATGATCAAGACGGATGGTAAGTTCAATGAGTTCGTTCAATTTCTTTCCTTCGTCACGGCAAGCCAATTCAGATTGTAGATTGGTATTCAGACCCCGTCTGAATAGTGTCTTCAGTGTATCCTCAACCCAGTTAGTTTGAGCGGCGAGAGTGCGAAATGACAAGGCGTATTCTGCAGCTGTGTTACGCCCCTGTGTAAGAGAAAGTAACTGCTCACCGGGGCTTCTCCCATCTGCTGGGTGCTCGAACACTTCCCGAAATTGCTTGAGAAAAGTTTCAAATGTGGGATAGTTACATTCCTCCTCCTTCCATATCGCTGTAGCCCATTCCAGCGCTTTCCCCGTTAACAGGTTGCATACAAAAGCCACCCGACTAGAATCAGTGGGATATAATGCAGGTTGTTGGTTAACAAATAGTTTGCATTGCAATAAGAAGCCTTTGCAGCGAGAAGGTGACCCATCAAACTTTTCAGGAAAAGCTAATCGGGGACTTACGGTAGCCGGAGCATTGGAGACATGCGTTGGTTGAGAAGCTGTCATGGTAGCAGGCGGGGTAACTGCAGGATTCGGATGACGGAGTTGCTGCATAGCTCTCACCAGTTCCTCCGTGAGAGAAGTTAGATGGGTGAGTTGTTGATGATGGGTGGCTAACTGAGTGGCTTGAGCGGAAAGTTCAGTCGAGACTTGTGCTAAAGCTGCTGGATTCTGTAGTGGCGAAGTCTTCTGTTGTGATGAATCAGAAGGCATTGAATCCATTTGCAAGCTTTATTAAGAGCACACATACAAACAAACACAAAGGGGCAATCCAGGAGACAGAACGTGGGACAGGCAAAAGTTCAAAGGCAGGCAGATATCTTACTGGTCAGAATAACAGGCTGGAGATCAGGGGCAGGCAGATGTCTTTCGTAATCGTAGAACAAGCACAGGGTCAGAAACACAGATCAGTCCGAAGCAGGGAGTATGGAACGCTCAGAAATGACAGCCAGGCAAATCAAGACTTCGCAACGAACCGGAGCGTGAGTGTGGTATATATACACGAGAGCTGATGAGTTGCACCTGGACCGTAATCAGTGCCAGGTAGCAGGGCTTATGGGATTTTGAGTCCGTGAGTCGAATCAGAATTCTGGCGATGGTTCCCTCTGGTGGTGCACAAGAGGGTTGGCATCGCCCTCATTTACAACAATTAGTTAGTGTTAATGTATTTACTAACATGAACAAAGAACAATGAAGCATCTTTCATATAAAGAAAGTACAGTTCATGTCAGCTCAGTGCATTAATGTTAACAAGCATACATTTTGATTTTAATAGCATTGGGACATATTTCAATTAATTAAATGATTAATAAATGCTGTTCAAGTATTTTTTCTTTGTTCATGTTAGTAAACATAAACTAACTTTAACTTATGAAACCTAATTAAAAAGTGACTATTTAATTGTATGCCTTTTTCTGTATTTGAGTGTACAGCATGTATAGTAACCTGCATGGCTTTGATGAACGATGTATGCTGTATGTTGTTGTATATTTATAATAAATGAAATAATGAGGTGTGTATTAAATAAATTGATAAACAGGCTAAGTTGTGTATTTTTGTCGTGTATTTTTATTAGTAAAAATTTGTTTGCTATATTTATGGACTTTGTGTTGTATGTAATTTCTATTTAACTTACGTTGAAATGTATGACGGTGAAACAACGTCACTGTATCAACGTTGATCCAATTTGCAAAATCGAAAGGTAATTCAACCTTCATTCAACGTCTACAAAACGACCACAATTCACCCATGAAGAAGGTAAGAGTGAAACAACGTTGTGATTTCAACGGTGAATCACCGGTGGTGGTCCGACGGTGAAACAACGTCACTATATAAACGTTGATCCAATTTGCAAAATCGAAAGGTAATTCAACGTTGATCCAACCATAGACCTGACGTTGATTCAACGTTGAATCACCGTTGAAATGCCGGCTGGGTTTGTTACATTTTTAGAGAATGGTGACATTCGTCGATAGCCACGACGAGGGCTATGCAACCACGTGTAGGCTGCGCCTGTGCATACGTGTGCCCTTGATGCAGAAGTATAAATCGGTTGTAAGATGTGTAAATGGCATGTACAATAAACAAGTGTGACCCAGTAATGCATTTGAGATTTGCAGAAATTTACACAGCAGCCTCTGGTGGGTTTATGAGAAATGGCTTGTATGACATGGCACAGGAATGTATTTGAGATTGTCAAAAATGTATACGGCAGCCTCTACTGGATTTGTGAAAACAAAATTTTGTGAAAATTTTCACTATTCCCATTATGTAGGCCTGGAGACATTTTCCATTGAGCCTGGGTTGGATATTGGTTAATTGGATAAACTAAATTGTAGTATGTGTAAGACTATGTGTGTGTGTGGGTGTTTACCTAATATATGTATTATATATTTTTCCAAGATATATAAGTGAGTAATATAATAAATTATATTTTATGTATAATAATATATAATATAATATAATATAATATAATATAAAAATATAATATAATATAATATAATATAATATAATATAATATAATATAACATAATATAATATAATATAATATAATATAACATAATATAATTAGGGCTGTCAAATGATTTAAAAAAAATTACATAATTAATTACACTTTTTTGTAATAAATCATAATTAATCACGAAAAGTGACACAAACACACACACACACATACACACACAGACAACACGCGCAGTACTTCGCACACGGTGAGAAGGGATCCCTTCAGATTCATCAACACGTACAATCGCGTTCATCAAATTTGCTTTACAATCAAGGATTCTGACACAGCAACATGCTTTACAAAAGTTATGTGTAGAAGGGACAAACATCAAACTTATGAAATGTGAGGGCTCATGGAAGCAGCTTAAAAGCAAAGAATAGGGCTGTGTTTGACAGCTTGTGACTTTATCTGCCACTTTTACTGAGTAAATTTACATGGACACCAAAACTACACTTTTATGATTAAGATAATACTGATTAAGAGTCTACCATGTACGCAGCGATTTTTGTTTACCTTAAGGGATCACGGGAGTCCCGAAATGCGGGCATTTTTCTTTCCGATCGCCATGCGGTATCAAATTCCATTAAAACTGAACTACTAAACTGCAATTAAAGTGTAAAGATTAAAAATGAAACATCGAAATTGCATGAAACTCTGGAAACACAGGATTACTTGGTGATGCGACATTAATTGTTTTATACTGAAACTTTCCTTCTAAAAACACATCCTTGGTCTTATCCAAATTTCTTTGCATGCTAAACACACGCAGGGCCGGAGCAAGCTAAACTGGCGCTCTAGGCAAACTGCAATCAACCCGAAAGTGACCAGTTCGCGGATGAAAGAAAGGACGGTGAGGGAGGGGGGGTGGGTGTAGCGGATGAAAGTGAGGACCGGGGGTTCGCTCAGTTTTCTGCTGCTTTTTTTTAACGTTTAAAATATTTTTAATAATCACGTGCGTTAACGCACTAATTTTGACAGCCCTAAATTTTCATTCAATAATTCATTTTCTTGTCAGCTTAGTCCCTTTATTAATCACTTTATTGAATAATTATTAATTTGAATGAACCACAAACTTATCTAGCACGTTTTTACGCAGCGGAAGCCCTTTCAGCCGCAACCCATCTCTGGGAAACATTCACACACACACACATACACATACACACACACACACACACACACACACACACACACTCACACTCAAACACTACGGACAATTTAGCCTACCCAATTCACCTGTGCCAAATGTCTTTGGACTGTGGGGTAAACCGGAGCACCCGGAGGAAACCCACTCAAATGCAGGGAGAATATGCAAACTCCACACAGAGCCCTAAATATAATATAATATAATATAATATAATACAATATAATATAATTACATTTCAGCATTGTACTTTTTCAATTGTACTTTTACATTTACTTATTTATCTTGGTCCTTGATTTATTTGGGGTCACCACAACAGAATGAACTGCCAATTACTTTGGCATATGTTTTATGTGGCGGAAGCGCTTCCAGCCACAACCCAGCTCTGAGAGAACACTAATTTGTAAATTCCCAGTACTGGGAAACACCCATACACTTTGTCATTCACTCACTCACTTGCAAACATGCAAAACACTACAGACAATTTTTTATTTTTTTTCCAATTAACATACTGCATGTCTTTTGACTTTGGAAACTGGAACACCTGGAGACGAAACTCAGCTAAACACGAGGAGACTAAAAAGTGAGCCACCGTGCCACCCCCTTACACAACACTGCAAAATAACACCTAATTCATTCATTCATTTTTTTGAAACATAGGCACACTGCACACAGAAATTATAACACCTTATTCAATGACTTTTTAAAATGTACATTAAATGATCATTTAGCACAATTACTCTTTAGGTGCGTCATAAATTTGTAAATAAATATATAACATATAAAAATGCTATTTATATTATTATTACAATTGCTCAGATGGTATTTCACGGTCCTCCCTTTTATGAGTTTAAAGCCTATTATAAATTAAGCCAGTGTGTAAGGAAATATCTGAAAAATATATGTATTTTTTAAATTTAATTAATTTATTTATTTATTAGCTGTTTCATACAATAAAATAAAAACTAAACTAAATTTTTTTTTCAATATTCTTACTTGTGTGTGTGTTTTTATGACTTTATTAATTACAATAACAACATATAATCATAATACATGAATTTTCAAAATAAACAATAGCTGCAACATACATTGATTTAGAGAAGGTTTACAGCATATAATAAGGCAGTGTGTCATTTGCGGCGCTGTGAACACCGAGCAAATGTTGCATTATGGAGACATAATCACTGACACACGAGCTGTAATTTTTCTCATATCAGATGACGCTTCATTGTACCAGTCTGCGGAGTTTAAAATGACCGGTTTGAGAACGTGTGGCTAATGGCTATTTATTAGAGTTCAGACAAAGTTTTGCCCCTCTGATGCTCATACTGCTGTCTGGCTTGGTATAGCCGCAGATTTGTATGAAGTCAGATTTGTATGAAGTGATACTCAGGCGCTGCTCTGTCATTTCCATCCGTGACGTCAGTTTATTTAGCTCGTGAGCGCAGCATGCTTGATATAAGGGACGGTTCCAACAGCTATGTCAACATTTCCCTGACTCGAGTCTACTTCTGACTGTAGACTATAAAACGCCGCTACCTCTCTGCAATGTCACTCAAAATTATACTCATCATCTTGATCGCGTGTCCTCTTGCGCTCACAGGTAAGTCTTGCAAAATTAATTAAAGTCTTACTTCCACTGATCAAAATATGGTGACTTGGTCATTAACTCGATTCTACATGTGTTCTAAATGTTCAGAGTTGTGCCTTACATATTAAAGAACTGCTAAGAGAAATGTCGATTATTACAATATTTTCTAATGCTTAATCAATCTATTGTTTATGTGGTTATTATTGAATAGCTTTTGTTTCTAAACATGAGTTATAGATACCTTGATATTATTTGACATGTTTTACATTCTTTAAAACACTTTCATGTATCGTTTTAATGTATTTTTAAAATGTATAATTTTTTTTGTCATGCATATTTTTGAATGTTTGCGTTTTGCATCACTTTAAATTGATATGCCATATCGGTGTATTAGCCTGTAAAGTAGGAGAAGATTTCTGGAAGTTAATTTAAGTTGTTAACACAATGCGTTGGTGAATGTTGTTTCCTTAAATGAACAACTTTGTGAGTCATGTAGAATTAGAATGTACTCATAATCCTTTTAATTATCATGTAGATTCGTGAGACTGGTTTTACTCTGCAGATCTAAGAAGTTATGTTGAATGACCTGAGTGTATTAAAAACCACGGGTGAAAATATTGTCATGCTAAATTAGCACAGAAGTGCTGAATAAATTGCCTTGTTAATATCTTGTCTGTAGATCTTCCCAAAAGGGTTTGTTCCTGAAAAAGCCTTGTGGTCCTAGAATAGTAAGGATGATTAACGGTTGTAAATTAAAATAATAACCAAATTGTAAAGCATCTTCCTGTTTGGACTCTCAGCTTCATTAAATATCATATTTTTCTGTGTCATTTAGGAAAATTTCCATCACTGTGCATTTAATACATGGTGGTTTTGCTGTAAAAAATAGCTGCGCTATAAAAAAGATTTGTGTTTTGTCATAGTTTGTAAGACTGTGACCTTCTGTAAACTGTCATTACAAAAGAAATTCCCTAAATCCCAATAACTTACTTTTTATCATTTTAAGCAGTGAAGAATTTCACATACTCCTGGGGTATCTCATTGTCAACCTGAAGTCAGTGAAAGAGCCTGGTTCAGCCTGTCAGATTGACTTGAGACTAGCTGGCAATGAGCCACAGGATGTAACCAGAATGGTGTCCAGCTGCAATGGAATGCATCATTTGACTGATTTATTAGATTAAAACTTTAACAGCATTTAAAATTTGTTTTGGTCTCTTTTTCAGGCAGAAAATGGACATATAATGGTGAGTAATTTTCATCGTTATGTACCAGTGTTAAAACAAGTCATTTAACAGACATCTTTACTGTGTTTTAGTATTATGCTGCTTGATATTTTTGTGAAAGCATATATATTTTTGATGATCAGGTTTAATTTATTCAAACAATCAAATTGAACTGATTTACAAAAATAAATTAAAAACTAACCAAATACATTTTGCTATTTTGAGACTATTAAACGCTTTGCTTAATGTTAAAAGGTTTACTAAAATGTCAGAGATGCGTACAAAGATTGTGAATTTGTCTACTAATGTGTAAGATAAGGGAACGAATGCAACTTAGACTCTGAAACATTAGGAAACTTAATATAAATGGCGCAAATTAGGTTGTTGTTGCTTTCCTTATACTGAGCAGATGCAATTGTTTTTACACTGGAAAAAAAGATCATCCAGCCATCTGCTACAGAGATCATCAGAATGTGCTCTTCACACCTTAAAGAGCTTTAAAACAAACATACTTAATCATGGCTGTTGCAGTGTTCTGGTCAATTGCCTGTACCTAGGAAACCAAACAGGTTTCTGGTTACTATCCTTATTGGTAAGTCCTATTCCTGGACAGGCCTATAAGGTGTTATCACTAACAATCCTAACATGTAATTTCAGAGTGGACATGGAGACCTTCTGGCAGCCATGAAGAAAGTTTTAAAGAGCATGTTGCTGCTGGAAAGTGGGAACTCGTTGTGCAAAGCTGACCTTCTTTTGACTCCATTGGCTCTTGAGCTCTGAATTATTCTCACCATGTCAATCATGTCATTCCTGTTAGTTTGCCCACTAGCTCACTCTCATGTTCTCATAGGCTTTTCAAGAGGTCATGCTTAATTACTGTAAGATCATTATACCATAGAACCAAATTACACATGGTATGTTTAGTTTGGATTATTTAAAGCTGTTTTAAACTAAGATATAAATTAACAGAAGGTACTTAAAACCCAAACTCGCTTTTGCCTGTAGTTTAAAGCTCCCTATATTTAGGAAAGAAGACTGTATAATAGCATTATGTTTCTGTGTCTAGCACACTGCAGTTTAAATGTCTTCTGAAATACTTGTTAAATAATTTTCACTTCTGCATGCAAGTTTAGAAAGTCTATAAATCAGACTATGTTGGTATGTGCTATATTTTAGACTTGACGACTAAGAGTTTTAGACAACATGATCATCAAAACAACCACCCTATAAGCAAATTGCTAATTTAAGCTGCTGCTAAAACTAGATTTTTGTGTTAACAAAGAAAGTCAATTATGGTGTAAAGTCAGCACCATTATGATGATTTAAGTTGGGTTCTTATTGTTGTTAAGTTGTTCCTAAATACTAGTAGTTACTAATGTGCACTGCGTTATTGCTCTATGCTGTTGGAAGTTTTACTGCTTTCAAGTATTGCTATGGTGTTATTGTGTAGTTGGTGGCCAAAAGCAAAAGAGCCCATCTCCAAGTAATTATTATGCAATTGTTGAGGGTTTGTGTACGCTAACGTGTTCTAAATGCTTTCTGGGTTTTCACTCTGTGGTTTTTAAAGCCATGCAAGGCAGTTTATAGATATTTGTTTAGTGGTTCTTCTCATTAAATATATAATAAGATGTGGACAATGTGACAATAGAGTTAAGTGTCAGCAGCCTGTTTGAAATGCCATGATGAATGCCTCACGAAACAGTGCAGTTCTTGTGCTGCAGTATAGATGTTATCATGTCTGTCAAGCAGGGCTCAGATCAGTGTTGTTCTTTGTGCTGGCTAACACTGAAAGCTCTTGAAATTCTGAGTCTGAATTAATTCTGCTTAGTCAAGGCAATTTAGAATGAATTTAGAATGACATAAAACCTCCACTTCCTTAGGCTTAAGAAAAAGCCTAAATACAGAAAACAGAAAGTTGAGATTATTATTTTAGTATAAGGTAAACTGAACAGACATAAATAATATTTTAAATCATGCAGATGAGTAAGGAAAGAACTGAAGTAAGTGGTCTAATAACCGATGCATAGTAACTATAACAATGTGATAAATGTTCTTGTACAGCACTTTTTTGCTCAGTCAACCATACAGTAATTAATTTATTCATAATGTATTTATATAATCACCAAGGATTTACTTTGCATTTGTTGCAAGCAGTGTGTGACCTCAGCATCCAGTAGTTTAGTGTAATAATGGCAAGCAATTTCAGAGAGCTGCAGATGGTTTACCATAAAAGTTTGCTCATACATAACAGGGTCAGAGTTATGATTTAAGTTTGTAAAACCTCCAGGACTGCCACAGGCATTTGGTGTGATTGTGATGGAGAACCTAGTCCAGATGAAAACATGAACTGAGCAGTGAGTAATTACGACCGCAAGGGAGGAAGGTTAAGCTACTAAAAGAGACTCTCTATGCTGTCTTGCAGTTACTGCAATACAGAAAACAAAAGCTGTCCACAAAACCATGGTCATTATTGACAATATATATATATATATATATATATATATATATATATATATATATATATATATATATATATATATATATATATATATATATATATATATAAAAACATGTAATCCCTTAGCAACAACAAACCACTTTTACTGCTACTGTTTCTGCAACTGAAACAATGACAATTTCATTTAAAGAGGCTAATTATTGTCATTTGTAAGTTTGTCATTTTATTTATTTTTAAAAAATCTGCTTAGGCAAGTTTAAACTCTGTTGGAAATAAAACCTTCCCTAAAGTAACAAAAATGATCTTTTATTGCTGCGTGTGGTATTCATACAAGAGCATTTATTTTGTAAGGGAGTGCTGTGTGACTGCTGACTTTAGTCTCTGTCTTTGACCAATTTTAATGCTGTTTAATTTAATGCCAACAAATGTTTAATTTAGTGCATCAGTCAGAGAATGATGCTTTCCCTGACTTTTTGTTTCAGGACTTGATGGAGAACACGACTGGCCCACCAACTATCCGTTTTGTGGAGGAGCATTCCAGTCCCCAATCGATTTCCAGACACATTTGCTGAGATATGATCCAAACTTGCCACCCATCCAGGTCCAGAACTATAACCTGTCAACCAGTGAGCAGCTCACTCTTGGCAACAATGGGCACTCTGGTGAGTACATTATACACTCTCAAAAATAAAGATACAAAATTTGTCACTGGGGCAGTTCTTTTTGAAAAGGTACCACCTCAGTGACAGATTTTGTACCTTTATTTCTGAGTGTGTAGAGCATACCGTTTTTTTTTTTTTTTGTTTCTTTTTTTTTTTTTTAAACACATCTTTTAAAACTTCAACATTTAAAGAAGTTACATTTTATATGGCTAAGTAGACTGTTCATTCCCTATAACAGATGAAAGGATTTGTGGTTGTTAGACTAATGAGACTGTGTGTTACATATAAAAGAAAAATAGACTTTCTTCTTAAGCTTAATTTCTGGTTCACCATGAAGAAAATGACAGAAGGATCTATTTTGCATGTCCGCCATAGCAATTTTCTATAAGTACCTGCTTATTACAATAGATCAAACCTGTTTGTATTTTAGTCTGGAAAATGCAACAAAGCTTTGATTCAAGGTAATGTCTTAACATCACAAGTGCTGATTTTCTAGGTAATGGGCATATTCTGCTGTATTTTTAGACAAATGTGCATTAAACAGACAAAAGTTGTTCCATCTACCTTTGCTGAACTGTAAATGTTTACCTAAGTGTGACTTATGTTATTGTATTTACTCTCACTCCAAAGAGTCATGTTTATGGCAAATAGAGAAGGAAGGTTTGTAGTTAACTAAGTTGACAGTTGTGCCATAGATTTCATGCCATGAGAGTAAATACTGATGGTTTTCTGACATTTATACTTATACACTACTCATGTATACTACATGATGTCACAGGCCTAGGCGAGTAAAATAAATCGATTTAAAGAAATAGTTAACTCAAAAATGAAAATGAAATCATTTACTCACCCTTCACTTGTTTCAAACCTGTCTATTGTTATTGTTAAACACAAATTCTAAGATACTTTGAAGGAAGAAATATATAATTCCTTTGTATTTAGCAGAAAGATTAAATCTGTAAAGGTTTATAAACAGCTGAGGGTGAGTAATCATTTTTGGGGGTGGCATATCCCTTTAAGTCTTTTCATGTAGTTTTTGCATTCCTGTGACATATTGTCTTTTAGAGTAGTTCTGCCTAGGCATGGGTCAGTATAACATTTGGACGGTATGATAACCTTGGATAAAAATATTCTGGTTTCACGGTATTGTGATTACTGCTCTAAAATATATTCATTTTAATTGTCTGGGTAAAAAACAAAAACTATTTTCTCTTTTAAACACAATATGTTTTATCTTTTGAAAGATTTATAATATTTTGGAACAGTAAACATGTCAGGCTGAATAATTAAAATCAGTCACTGACTTCTGCTTTCTTCATTAGTTTCAAAAACACAGATTTCTTTACGATTTAAAATGACATCTTTGGATAATTTTTCTGCTGAAGATACTGTTGTCCTAAAAAATGTAAATAAAAAATCTTACACATACCTTAGGAAATTTGGAAAGTTTGGCGGTTTTAAAACCTTGACTTTTCCAAAATATACAGTATAAGTATACTGTATCTTGAAAATGGTTATCATCCCATGCCTAGTTCTGCGACAGTTCACAATCCTGTTGTATTTAGTTCATTATATATTAGTGTCAAAACTGTGATGGGATGCACTGTGAATGATAGATTCAGCCAAAAAAACGCTCACTGAAAATGCTCATGTGCACATTTCAACCAAAAATGTTTGTGAATGCATATTTAGTAAATGAGACCCACTGTCTTGCTTTATTTTATCAAACAAAGTAATGGCAAGCAAAACAAGAGCAGGACATTTCTTAGCGACAAAAAGCAGTTTGAAAAAAATCATATCATTGATTAAATTATTAGGTTATTAAGTGCTTCATTCATAAAGACTGTCATTTGTATATTTCAATCATTTTGAACATATCATTTAAAAATTATTTGAATATTGGAATGTAATGGAACATTATCTTTGAAAAAGCATGGAATCCTGATCTGTGCAAATTGAGAATTTTGAGGAAAAAAAAAAAGCCCAGCGTAGGTTTTTTTATGAACTTCTGTGTGAATAGTACTTTGTGCATTAACTTTTTTTGGTCTTAACGTGGCTGTGGCTTGAATGTGGAATTTACTATTTACTTTCTTTTCTTTATCCACAGTGCAGTTGTCATTGCCATCTCACATGTACATATCCAGCCTTCCTCACAGATATTCAGCAGCTCAGCTCCACTTCCACTGGGGCTCTTCTAACCTGCTGACTGGATCAGAACACACTGTTAATGGCAAGCAGTTTGCTGGAGAGGTACAGTAAACATGATCACCTATGTCAGCTCAAAGATGAGACATATGCCTGGTTTCAAAGCCTAAATCTAGTCAAAGACCCAAGTCTAAGTTGTTTCAATTGAAGGAAACTTGCATGTACTGATCTTAAAGTATATCAGAGGCTTTGTTTTGTCTCAGGATGGAAGCTAGTAATAATTAACAATTACAAAAATGTCCCAATTAAACTATGGACTAATAATGGCATAGTATTGCACACTATGAAATGCACTTAATTTCTAGAAACAAATAATCAAGAACCAATCCTAGGTTCCTGACAGTCCTGAAAGGAGTTAAGGCCCTGGTATATTTCAAAACAAAATTGCAACAAAAAAAGACTTGAGCAAAAATTTAAAGCAAAATCTGGCCCAATAATTTAAGCTCATATCTCCATATACTCCATTTATATAACCCTATAACTCCATCTTCTTTAATGTGCTTAGTATCCAGGCAGTTCAGAGTCATAACAGGAGAATAATGATACAGTCTTGATGGGATAAAGCAGCAGACACTAACATCAAAATTGCAAAATTTTTGGACCACAGTACAACCATAATTAAGGAGGGTAGGTTTAGGGTTGAGGTAGGGGTAGACATTAATAAAATACAATTTAATAGGTAATTTAATAAATAATATTAACAATTCTCATTATATAATTACAGTTTTTTAGTTCAGGGCAAAAATTAATCATGATTTATCACATCCAAAATAAAAGTTTGATTTGACATAATATGTGTGTGTACTGTGTATTTTTATTTTGTATATATAAATGGAAACATGCATGAATATAATTGAGAAAATGTTTATTTATATGTAGATATAAAATATATGTTTGTTACAAATTATATATAATATCTATGTAACAAAATAGTTTTGAGTCTATGTATATATCTATCACATATACATTATAAATAATATATATAATACACACATATATTATGTCAAAACAAACTTTTATTTTGGGTGTGAATAATCTGTCTAGCTTAATGTTTTTACATTACTGTGAGGGTGGGGCTCGCAGCTGTATCCCTTCTAGCAACAATCAAAAAGCATCCAGCACAACAGCAGCAATAGTAACATTAATAAACTGGAAGATTGAGTAGCAGACTTGCAAAGAAATTGCAAAGACTTGGAGTCACACACCAGACAATAAACAGAACCACGTTGCACCAGTCTGATAAAGTTTTAAACATTGTTCCATTCACTGTCTAGCCCAGTGGTGTCCAAACTTGGCCCTGGATGGCTGGTGTCCTGCATAGTTTAGCTCCAACTTGCTTCAACACACCTGGCAGGAAGTGTCTAGTATATCTAGTAAGAGCTTAATTAGCTGGTTCAGGTTTGTTTGATTAGGGTTGGAGCTAAACTCTCCTGGACACCGGCCCTCTAGGACCGAGTTTGAACACCCCTGGTCTAGCCTCAGCAAATAGACAGCAATGTGGCATGCCTCTGTAGCACTTGTTCTGTGACGGGCTGAAAAAGGCTGTTTGCCTCATATGAAAGTTGTCTTTAGAAGTTAAGTCGAGAGGCATGCTACAGTCCCGACAACTGCAGCGCGTGGGTGAGGGAAGGTTCAAGAACAGTACATCATCACTCAGCCTTTTCAAACTTCTTTTTAACCTCAAGCAAATAACGAAATAGAACCTCATTTGAAGTATATCGAGGCCTTTATGTCCAGTTGTATGAAGTTGTGGTCAATTAATGGGTTGGCCAGAATTACCAGCAGTTCTGTTTTATAGAGTTTGAGTTGAAACTGGTGGTCAATCATCCAGCAGGAAATATTTTTCAGACATGCTAATATCAAGGCAGGGGTCATCGGATCATTCGGTTGGAATGATTGGTAGAGTTGGGTGTCATCTGTATAGCATTAGTATGAAAAGCCTTTTTTTTTCTGAATGAGGATACACCATCTTGCTCCTGGGATAACTTCAACCCTCCAAGAGACCCTTAAATTTCCTATTTGAGAGGTAAAAGCTAAACCACTGAAGTGCAGTTCCTAAAATCCCCATTGTCTTGAGTTTTGCTAAGTTAATTTGGTGGTTCACAATATCAAAATTAGCAGATAAATTCAGCAAGAACACTGAGGATTTGCATGCAGCTTTTGTAAATCTCTAGGTTTCTACTGCTGAGAGCAGAGCAGTCTTAGTCCCTGCTTTTGAAAATGGACCGGTTCATGTCAGAGAAATTGTTATGACAGACAGACTGATTAATTGATTGATTTACCTGGTTGCTTATTAAGGACAGATTTTGTTGTATTCAGATGCATGTAGTACACTTCAATTCTGACAAATACCCTAATGTCTCCATGGCTGTGGACAAACATGATGGACTGGCTGTGCTGGGAGTTTTTATTGAGGTGAGTTTAGACCCCAAAACCACCTAGACTAATGCAAATTTTTATTCTTGCAATTAATTGAGCATAGCATTTCACTCAGTATATTGGGGTGATTATTCCTGTTTGTTTATTGTCTGTCACATCAACACATCTTTATAAGAGTATATTTTCTAATCAGTCAATGTTTTGTTCCATTTAGATTGGAGAGGCCAACCCAGCTTTTGACAAACTTTTCAGATTCATCAGTGGAGTAAAGTACAGAGGTATGTTACTTTAATGTTATTTGAAGTATCAATGTGCACAAATATTCTAACACGTTCCTTTGGTTGACCTGTGAACTGGCAGATCAGAAAATACAAGTACCAGCATTTAACATCCGTGCACTGCTACCAGACCGATTGGATCAGTATTACCGTTACGATGGTTCTCTGACCACACCACCCTGCTATCCTAGTGTGCTATGGACAGTGTTCAGAAAACCAGTCACAATTTCAAGAAAACAGGTAAACTACTTATGCCTATTAGGCTCAAATTCATTTCCACTGTCATTAATATGACCAAGGAGGACTTTATAATCTAGTACTAGGCTATCCATATGATTATGCTTGCAAACTGAACTGAACTGTCACTTACTTTTGATTGGCCATCAATAAGTGTAGTATGTAATACAAGTAGTTATTACGATCAGCTTGTCAGAGTTACCAGCGATCTAGCCCATGCAGATGGCTAGAGAACTACAATCTGCTGGTATACGGACTACAAGTCCAGTCATGCAAAACACACACACTCATCTGCTCCAAGTCATTATTGATTACACTTCTACTGCTGATGCTACTCATGGACTGATTACACACACATATATGCGACTCATTTTGAAACTCTCATCAGTCTTGTTATTCTAAACTGTGAACATTGCGATGCGGTTTCCTTGCCTTCTGTATTTGAACCTTGCTTTGTTTCGTTTATTCTTGTCTGCTGCATGCCTTTGACCATCTGGCTGTTTATTGACCACGACTCTGGATTGCCCGTAAATCTGTTTGCTCCTGTGTTGACTGTTGCTTGCTTGACCATCCTGCTAATAAATCCTGTGTTTGGATCGGCACCCCTGTTGTCAGCGTCACTTCACGTTACACAGCTGCTAAAAGCTAACTAGCCAAATCTTGTCCTTTTAGGTAATAGTAGGTAATAGTTTTGCTGTTTTTAATAATGTTTACTGTTGTACTATTTTTACAGTTTTTGGCATTGGCCACAGCTCTATATGCCTCCTTTGCCCAAGACTCTCCTTCCATGCCACTTCATGAAAATTACCGGAAGTCACAACTCCCTGATAACAGAGTGGTACTAGTTTCCTTCAGAGAAGGTAAGAGAATTTATATTGTAATATGTATACAGTTTAGCAGGCCATAACTTTAGCAGTAGATTGCTTTCTCTCTTATTCTCTTTTAACGTCTGCACAAGGATTCAGTTTATGCACTGTTACCTTTATTCCTAAATGAAAAACTACTACTGCAGGCTCCTTTAAAAGGAAAAAAACAATGGCTGTTTTTATAAGCTGCTTCAACTGACATAAATCTTTACCTTTAAACCTGTTTTAGAGTTGCTGCACCACAACATTTGTTTATCAGGTATTTTGTTGCTGTGAGAGAAGCCTGAGTTTGCTGTCTTCACCAGAGGCTTATGATCTGCTTCAGTCTTGCTGTTTCTAACATTCTTGCATGAAGGCTCATTTCATGAAAAACCAAGTCTACCACTTACAGCATGATTTACTGCATGGCAACATTTTCTATGAAGCTGAATGATGGAGAAGAATGGTTGGTCCTTCATTTTTTCTTCCAGGCCCTGCACTAGTAATGCTTAGTCCTAGCAGTTCACATTTGCAATGCTTGAACTCCTCTGTTGATTATGTCTGGTGCAGGACTGCATGGTATTCTTTCAGTGGCAAGCCCCTTTCATAGAAGACAAGTCGTTCAGAAGCTTCTGGTGGGTGACCTTGCAGACCTTGCTGACGAGGGACTCTATCAGCTTCTCCCAAAGTTGAGTCTTCATACAGATACAGATAAGAAGTTAAAGAGGCCCAAGAAGCAGAGACACTGGAGCCAGGCAACCCAGAAACATCAGTGGTCAAAGAACAATGTGCCAAGCGACAATGGCTACTCCTCTTCTGTTGGGAAAAACATTCCAACACCATGGTATATGGGAGCACTTGAAACAGGTAAAGGGATGTGTTTTGTATCCTTGGAAGAGCAGGTCATTCATCAGCTGGAGAGGTACCAAGCAAAGGGTCTGATGGTCGAAGCTCTGAGAGAGGTAGTTTTTCCAGAGCTGAACCTTAGAAGTTATTTGCATTGCCGATCTGATCTAGACCTTCAGACTATAAGACAACTCATACAAGGAAGATCCCGAGATGAGGCGGCAGAGCTGGAACAATCACTGACTAAAGCCATGCTGAGGCAGATGAGAAGGCAAATTAAGCGGCGTAGAAACCCAAACATAAAAACCACCATGGGGCATCCTCAAGCCACAGTTCCCAAAGACTACAACTTGGAGCTTGCCTACCATAGACCTCAACATGTCGAATGGGAAGATTAAATCCAGGGAGGGCTGCAAACCTCCTAGAGGGCGTAAAAATATGCAGTACGCTGTCATGCATATTTAGTCAACTATACTCCCAAGGCTAGCACATCATTGACTAATGTTTATTTAGTTTGATAGTACTCCCCTCTAACACTCTTTCAGAGACTCCTATGGTTTTTGTCTCAAAACACATTTAAGCAAACTATTTTCATAACATTTTATTCAACTAGTTTTAAATAAAATTGTTATTTGAGAGAATAGCACACTAAATGACATTTGCTTGATGAATCTTAAAACACTTTTCAGTTTTCAGGATCCAGATTAAAATGTAATGATTAGTCTAGACTAAAAGTTTGTCTGTTTTAAACATTAGTGAGGTTTTTGTGGGAGAGAAAGACTCAAACTATCTTAATTATGATATACAGTGTACAACTCAAAGACAAAGACCATAATGTTGAGGGCATATTTTTACATTTTATTGGGAAAAGTTGAGTTATATACTGCAGTAATTGTATTCTGTGGTTGAAAAGAGCTATGTTCAAATGAAAAGGGACAAAATCAGCATTTTAAACGTTTTAACATTCTCTAACACTACATGGTGCTGTTTTTCTTTTGGGTGTGATCTGAGACAAGAGAGAAAGCAGACAGCATAATCTTTTTTTGTACACTGACTCAGATGTTAGTCTATATAATTTTTTGGTGAAATGTCTAGATCATGGATTGTAAAATAAAACCCATAACTTCAATTAAAATGAATCACTTCTTCCACTTATTAAAGATAAATGTCACTGTTTTATTTGAAACGTTTTTTAGGATAGTATGTGTGATTATTATATGATACAATGGGACACATTTCTGAATTTTTGTATTTGACTTAAAAGTGAAATTTATTCATCTTTTACACATTTATGACCATCAGTAGTACATTCATTTGAAAGGAATAGATCATTTAAAAAAGGAATAGTAACCTCATGTCATTCAAAACCATTTTGAATTTGTTCTCCTGCTGATCGCATGAGAAGTCTTAAAAGATAAATACTTTCATTGTTTGGACAAACACAATAAAAAAAAAATAATAATAAAATAAACCCTCTTAAATTTAGCTTACTACCTACTTTTTTGTCCAAATGACTCCACTTCATTTGTAACATTTTCATTATACTGTTTTTACAAACTTTTATCTCAATTCATATTTTCCTTTTTCTTCAAAGGAGACTTTACATGGATGAGCTGGGGTATGTTATAGTAAACAGTTTATGCATGTCTGTGTGTGTTTGTGATGTGAGACAATTCCTCACCTCTGGCTAACAGACGTGACGTCTTATGACCATGCAGTGACGTGTAGTTGCAGTGTTGCATCACCCCTGTCTCTGGCCACAACATAATTGCTGTTGACATAAAATTGAACACATGGAGAGGGCATGTTTGGGCATTAAGCATGACTTTAGGACCTTATCATTGACGTATGTATGGTTTAGTTCTAATTGTAGCCCTGCAATGGTTGACAAATAGTTCTACTTTACACCACTGAGTCCTATGCGCGTATGTGTGCCTCACATTATACCACTGGCCTTGGTTTTGTTACCACATGTGTAATAATAGCCACAACTGTGAAATTTTAGGGTGTCACAGTGGCTCAGTGGTTAGCACTGTCGCCTCACATCAAGAAGGTTGCTAGTTTGAGTCCTGGCTGTGCCAGTTGGCATTTCTGTTTGGAGATTGCATGTTCTCCCCATGTTTGTGTGGTTTTTCTTCAGGTAGGTAAATTGGGTAAACAAAATTGACCATAGTGTATGAATATGTGTGGGAATGTGAGAGTATATGGATGTTTCCCAGTACTGAGTTGTGGCCGGAAGGACATCCGCTCATTTGTTCATTCTACTGTGTTGACCCCAATCAGGGACGAAGCCGAAGGAAAATGATTGAATAAATGTGTAATTTTGCTTATTACGTTTGTGGCTTTAAACAAGTGTGTGATGACTGTTAATCATACTGACAACAGTTAAACAAAAAGCTAATCTGGGTTAAGATATTTTTGATTTCAAGTATTAACAATTTTCCGAATTTACCATTGATACACACTAACATGCATGAATCATCCGTGAACATTATTCTAAATACATTTTATCCAAAATGTCATCTTTTTTTAGGGTCCAGTTTTCACAAACTAGACCATACTTAATGGATAAAATCAAATAAACTTTCTAAAATCAGTTACATTATGGAAATTTGATTATGGTTTGTAAATGTCATTTCATGTTGAAATTAAAATCTTCTGACTTTAAAAAATATTGTGTTACATGACACACAACTAGCCTTTTAAAACATAATATTTAAAATTAATTTAGCATAATATAAATGCAAGTATTCTGATAATTGTAAGATTAATTCTCCTTTCAGGTATCATAGCCTCAATAACAGCAGCATCCATGCTAGGACTGCTAATGATTATTACGCTGGTTTGGTGTATTTTGAGAAAAAGGTAAGTGGTAAATTCAACTCAAAATGAAATATCGATGCAGACATTTTACAGTTGTTTTGCCAATAATCACAGATGGAGCATTTTTATTTAGAGCAATCCATTAAATCTGGAATTTTGGCTTCCCTGTGCAGTTTTCTAAATGGATGTAAGTTGGTTACTTGAAATTACCACCCTGGCCAAATATTTCTTGGTTTGTAAATTATTTTTATTCAGACTTTAAATTGTGCTACACTATTGACAGTAGACCTTCTACCCACAAGATTTTACATTACCTTTTTGTGAGGTATGCTTAATGCACTGATACAATGCATTCAGTCAGATTTTTTTTAATTATTATTATTTTTTGTTAACATGTCTGTGTGCCACATACTTCAAACTTTAATTTTATTATTTTGGCATTAAAAAAAGTCCAATAACAAGAAATGAAGGTAAGTTAAATGATGCATATTCTATAATGCAATTCCATATTTTTTGTCCTGGAAATTAGGTAAATTATGATAAATTATTTAAAACGTAATGGCTTGTGCAAAGTTAATGTTCATTTAATCAAGTTTCAATGTTTATTACATATTAAGCGTAATATATACACACAGATTGGACAATGAAACTGAAATAACGTGTGTGTATGTGTTTGTGTGTGTGTGTGTATATATATATATATATATATATATATATATATATATATACAGAGGAAAATGAGGATATGACTGGCTCTGGCAAAACAGGATTTGAATGGCTCCTACGAAACACCCCAAAGTGACAAATTTATATTAAGATGAAGAGAATATATGAGAGATCTTTCATGTCCATTAAACCACTCTTTACACTGTATTCAATGCACCACACTTTATTCAATGCACTGAAAAATGTGATAATAAAAAAAGTTAACGTAACAAAGACACAATAACATCTTTGCATTTAAAATGACAACTGAACTAATGATACTTAACTACATTTGTTATAAAGATACATGTGGGCAAAAAAGTCTGGCATGCAAATTTCACTTGTGTTGAAGTTGGTCACCCTCACCAACAAAAAGCTGCTTGGTTTGAAAGAACCCTGTGTGGGCAGTACTTCGCCTATTGTATTGACAATAGACAATGAACATTTTTTTGCCTGAAAAGGTTTCCTAACATGACTTCACCCTAATTGTACCAAATTTTACTCAATTGTACTTGTTTAACTAGTTTAATACTTCCACATTTTACACCATAAACAGTCCTTTTGTTCTTTCCCTAGATCTTACACAGAAGAGCAGGAGGAGAAAAACAATGGGTGCAAGCTCTCTGAGAAAGAAGAACACATCTCTTAAGTATAACCTTTCAACAACTGATGAAACCTGAACAAATTAAAACATGAAATTTCTGTGCCAGATGATTTTTTTTATTCCTCCATGTATTTTTATCCTTGGCACATGATCCTGAGTACAGAGGAACTATCTGGTTGCGTGCAGCATTTATTTCAGAAATGTTAAAAGATTGACTATTTGAATACCAAGAGGTCTTCAACCACAATATATATATAAGACCCAAAATCCTAAGATGACACAAGAGGAGAACAAAAATATGTTGTTGCATGTAACCCACCAATCAACATCAAACCTGGTGCTTTGAGAAGCAGGAGCCATCATCTGCCAGGGTGGCCTTCTTTTGATGTCTACCGGCATGTGACATCTTTCTATAGTGCCAAGCAGACGTGGTGGGAAAACACAGCTTCTGCTTAAGGCAACGAGGACGTTTTGGTTCAGCATGGATATGCGGTGGCCTGAGATGGGTAGTTATGATGTCCCCACCCTATATTTACTATTGTGCTGTTTGACCGATTAGAGTAATGAAAGGGTATATGCAGAGCCGCGCTCTCAGTTCCCACTGTGCATGCCACAGAACTGGACTATTGTTTCTCAGTTTACATGTAGGTTGACCTTTGACCTGTCATTGCTGAAGCAATCATGAGACTAAACGCCCATGCAAACCCAGTAACCCATACAAATGTGAATTACAAGAGTGCTCAGACTTTCCCAAATACTTACAGTGATTACCTCACTGAAAACTACATGTTGAAGATTCACAATTTTTGAAGATGGATTTTATGGAAGTATGAAACAATAATAATGATTAGAACTGGAAACTCTGAATGATGTGAAGCTAATAATATCCATATTTTCATGTTGTGAGACACTGCATAAAACCATTTTCCATGTTGTTTCAGACTTGTTAAATTTGGTTAACTATGGTCTGTTTGCGGCGAGGCAGAGGCGCAGCAAGAAGGTCGCTGGGATGCTGGTTCGAACCTCGGCTCAGTTGGTGTTTCTGTGTGGAGTTTGCATGTTCTCCCTGCCTTTGCGTGGGTTTCCTCTGGGTGCTCCGGTTTCCCCCACAGTCCAAAGACATGTGGTACAGGTGAATTGGGTAGGCTAAATTGTCCGTAGGGTATGAGTGTGTGTGGATGGATGTTTCCCAGAGATGGGCTGCGGCTGGAAGGGCATCCGCTGCGTAAAAACTTGCTGGATAAGTTGGTGGTTCATTCCGCTGTGGCGACCCGGATTAATAAAGAGACTAAGCCGACAAGAAAATGAATGAATGGTCTGTTTGCTGACTGATTGAATGATGCTGAAAAGCTGTTAGAGGCCTCTGATTCACTTCTGCAGCTGTATAACTGCGAGCAATACCTTTTTCAAATGAAAATATAATTTCATTTGATTTACCTTCAGCTAACTGACCCAGCCGAGTCTCGAACCATTCATTCTTGCTGTGAGTGCTAACCACTGAGCCACTATGTCACCTCAGATGAAAATGTAAATAGAATTGACAACTAATATGATTTTGTGTGTTAGCTAAAGGACATAGATGAAAACTTAATTTTTGTGCTGTTTTTGCGTACAGTGTTCCACTGTGTTGTGATATTTCTGTGCATTAAATTAACAAAGCAAAAAACAACAACATTTGTTCATTTTAAAAGCTACAGATTTCATAGGTAGGCTACAAGAAATGGTAAAATTAAAATAACTGCACATATATGAATGTCAAATATCATCAATTTTAATCCTATAGTTTCATGGAGTTGGACACAGAAGTTATCGGACTTTACAAATTTATTGCTGGTGATATGTTTCATTTGCTGTTTTTATTGTAGGCAAATAAATTGGCATGTCATATTTATTGTTCGCATAATAATAATACTTATGGTGATGGAGCTATATTTTTACAAGCGCCCTGTCGATGTGAAACATGATGCAACGGCGTCCTCTGGTGTTCATTAGTCGCAAAATCGCATGGTGTGCATTTGAAGTT